TTTTAAGATACTGCGCATAAGCATTTCAAAGAGCGTCAGGTTAACAAGCGGCTGTCTGGGATAATTAGTGAGCTTTTCCCAGCTGTGATGTGTCCCCATCTCCTGTCCCTGCTTTCCCAGTTACAACCCTGACCTCGTCTCTCGTCCACTGCAGGTGTCTCCCTGAACGACGAGACCTGCGTCCTGGGCAGTCCCTCACCTCCCTGCCTCTGCGCTCAGAGGCCGTGGCCTCTGCCTGCTCATGGTAAGTACAGCCGTGCCCCCTGCAACCTTCCTTCCTCGGAGCAGCACACCTATGTGTGCGGTACAAAACATTGTCCGTGGATACTGATAAATGTAGTGGGCCAAAAAGACTCGTGGCACAAATCTGCAAAACACTTGAATGAGCCAAATTGAATACCTTTTCTCACAGCGCGCCATTTCCCCCCATCAGTGCCTTTGCTCTGCCACCCTGCATGGTGTGCCTCCAAGAGGGGATGAGTTAGCAGCATTTCCCAAGTGCATTTGATGGGACAGGACTTTTTTCCTGTAGCCTCTTGTAAGACCACCTCACCACGGAGGACACTTCCGGGCATTTTGTTGTGATACAGGCAGTGAGGCTGCAGCTTGAGAGCTGTCAGATGCCCTTCCTGGGATGGTTGTCTGTGTGGTGCATCGTGTTCCATTCTGTGTCTTACCTCCTCCATGTGCTGTGGGCATCTCCCACACACAGGGCAGTGCCCGTGGTAGCAGCTCCATGATAGCAGCTCAATGACGGATAAATAAATAAATGATGGATACCACCAGGATAAATGTGGGAAGTTGGGGTAGAGCCCCCAGGACAAGGCTGTTTGCAAGTTTCCAGGCCTGGCTGTGATGAGCTGCCTGACTTTGGAGACTCTCCTCAGCCTCCATGGGTGGGAGTCTGCCTTCTCTACAGCGGGAAGGGTAATATCTGATTTTCAGGAGCTTTGGGAAAAATTGAATGAGATAATGGATGCATCAGCCTAAAGCAGGTGCTCAGAGGTGTTCAAGCAGGGATGTGCTGGCGGTTTGAGTCTTGGCACAGTGTGAAGTGTCTGGGAAGCCCCAAATCGCGAATCTTCTCTGATGCCCCAAATCCATTCATTTTTCTGAAAGACAGATAGCACTTAATATGAAAATAAGCTGGGGGTAGGGAGAGAGAATACAGGGGCTCTCCTCCTTTCTCATGGTTCTTCCTATGGGTGTCCCATCAGTTTCCTGATTCTTCTTCACCCTGGCGGGAATAGCAGCTCATCGCGCTCGGCAATTTCGTCATCACTTGCAGAACTGGTCCATCGTACCCCCTCGAAATACCTGCCCCCACCAGTGGGCATCACCTCCTCAGAGGTCTGAGTCCGGGCTCCACGGAGCCCTCTCCAAGCTCTCTGCTCCAGCTTCCTAATTCCAACCTCTCCTCTTTGTTTTCTCAGCCCAGGGGGCAGGAGCTGCTCCTCCAGTTGGTTGAACCATGATGCCCTAAGGTTCTCTTTTTACTCTTTCAAGCACCTAGTTATCGACTTTATTCTTACTGAACAGTTCTTTATATTACATTCTCTCTGTTCAAATAACTGGTTTGGGTTCTGCCTTCTGACTGAACCCTCCCTAATGAAAGAAAAAAAGAAGAATAGGGGTAAAGAAGGAAGGGATGGGTTAGAAGGGAAGGACGGATGTCGCCAGTCTTCTAAATCCATGTCTTGTGTTCATCTCCAGGACTCTCAGCAGCCAGCTGAGTCCTCGACTGGCTGACGGTGCCCTCCTTCTGACAGACATCAGGACACTCAGTGCACGGTGCTTCCCCCAAGCACAATAACCCATTTACCGTAGATGAGCTGGTTAATCATGATGTGTCTCTTGTTTTCTCATGGGATTGGCTGCTCAAAAGTGTTTTTCTATAAGGTGATGGAAAGTCATCAGGAATTCATTAACGTGTTCTGGTGATGTTGATTGCTGTTATAATGATTATTACACTATTGTATTAGGTTATAGATATTAGCATTGTCTCTTTTATGGGAAACTGTTAATGAGCCACGTGTACTTTCAGAAGACTGAGCCTATGGGCTTGGTGTTTGTGGAGTCTGCTTATTTCATGAGCTCAGATGGTGACTGAGGACTTTTCTAGTGATGGACTGGAGTGTATGCTCTGAAGTCAGACAGCTTGGCTCCGCCTTGTACTTACCGTGGGGCCCTGGACGCATAGCTTTCCGGCTCTCGGTGTCCCCAGCTCTGAACTGTATGTAGGGATGCTGTTGCTGCTGGTGACGCTGATGATGATAATGCTACTACTGCTAATACCTCTTCATAGATTGTCGGCAGATTAAATAAAAGAACTCGTATTATCTTGGGGCACCCAGTATCTTCCCTTGCTTCTATAAACAGTTCCAGACACAACAATATTTGAGCCCTAAAGCCCTTCTTTCTGCCCCAACCCCAACTTGTAAGCAGATTTCTCTCAGCAGGTCCCCACTAAAACACAGAAGTGGCTAGACCTGATGTTTGTGTGTCAGGGTGATCCAGAACAGTGCCTGGCCCTTAGCAGGTGCTTCACAAATGCTCACTGAATGGATGAGTCTGTCGGTAAGCCCCGGGCTCTGGGATCATAAACAGGGAGATGGAACCTACCATCGAACACTACATAAGCTGGATAAGATATTGAGTCTCCATGGTCCTCACGTTTCTCATCTACAACCAGGGACCACAAACACCCGTCTTACTGTAGTGGTTCCCCAGTGAGAATCCCTGGGAAGCTTGTTGAGTAAGATGCATGTTCCCAGGCCTGTCCCTGGAGATGCTGAGTCAGTCAGTCTGGGATAGGCTTTGATCCTTATGTCCCAACAAGCTGCTGGGGAGACTGGGGTGCCATGCGGGTGCCCTGAGGACCACACTCTGAGAAACGCATTGCAGGCTGAATGAGACCTGAATGTGGCTGCACGTGGAATACTGGCTGATGTCCAGTCAATTGTAGCACCCTTCCCCCTTCATCAGTTGGGAGATCCTTTGTGGTGGGGTGTCTTTTGGATTTTATGTGACATTTGGGCTTAAACTTCACATCTGCTGGAGACAGCTGAGAGAGATTAGATAAATTACTTAACTTTCCTGTGTGTCACTTTTTTCTTACATGTACTTACAATATATGAAAATATCCCTTCAAAGGGATATTTTCAAGAGTATCACATAAGAAACCGTATGAGAAAAACACTTAACAAACTATGAAAGTTCTTTTAATGTTGTTTTTCAATTTATGGGTTTATTTTCTTTTTAGTGATTAGCCCCTAAATCTGTATCCTTAATCCTAAACCAGAAATGATTTTTTTTTTCAAATAGAGAATCATTTGTTAAGTGCATCGGAGTTAAGTTAGTCCAGGGGACTTCTCGTAATCCACAAAGCCACTGTTGAAAGGAGACACAGGTATCAGTGACCAGCCTGATACCTTAGGTGACAGGTGCAGGGCCTGAGACAAAGCAGTGTGACTTGCTTGAGGCCCTAGAATAGGTGAGGGCAAGCTAGGTCTGGCCTTGTAATGCTGCCCCGCGCTCCTCCTCCTGTCCCGGCTGAAGGCTCCAGGCTGGTCACACCCCTCGCTTCCCGGGCTCCAGGCTCCGTCTGCACATCTCTTGTCCCCACTCGGCAGAGTGGGGTCAGGGAGCATCTCATCCCTTTCCTGTTGTCGCCTCCACATTTCTCATTATGATGAGAAAAAGCCACGTTTCTGGAACTCAGACCCTGGCAACTGTCTTGGATTTAACAGGAGCTGGTGATGGGGAGAGAAAACACATTTTTGGGTCAGATTTCCGCTCACGTCTGTGCCCTGGAAGCTTTCTGATGCATCCTTACAGCCTCCAACCCTCACTCTCTTCCTAACCTAGAAAATGGTGCTGGAGATGAGTTCCTCTCCTGATTGATGTGATAAATACATGGGAATAAGGAGTAGAAGAAACAGACGTAAATTAAGATCTGTGTCCGATCCTTTGTGTCACCCCTTGTGGTCCTCACAGGCCGATGCTGTTGGGCATCGCTGCCATCATCCCACTAGAGCCATGTCAGGAGCGCAGGGATGTCTGCCCCGCCCCTCACCAGGTCTCCCCAGCGCCTAGACAGTGGCCGATGTGCAGTCGTGCTTTCTCCCTTTGGAAGGGAATGGACTCTACTGGAAATGAGAATATCGGCAAGGGGCCAAAAGTCGCACAGCCCAGCCCCAGCCCGCCCGTTCTGAAGCCCTGACGCTTCCAGGCTCATACACGTGGGCGGCCCGGGTCTTGGGGCAGGGACAGGCTGGGTGTCCCTGCGGTGCCCTGGCCCCCTGCATGGGGACCTGTGTGCTCAGGGACTGCTCCTGTCTCCCATGGCTCTCCCCTCCCCATCTCTCAGACTAGCCATCACCTCATTAGAATGCAGCTGTGTGATTCATCAACACGATAGGAGAAAGCAGTCAGATGAAATAAAGGGGGAAAAACTAGTATTTGCGAAGACAAGCTGTGCTGAGCTTCCCACCTTATCCAGGGGCTACACGCACACACGTAGCCACGCCACCCTGACCACCAGAAACGCCCTGAGTGTGGAGTGTTTTTTTTTTTTCCTCTTCCTCTCTTATGTGAGCCACAATCTTTACATCTCGCTGACTGTTGTGCAAGCTAATGGCATTATCTTCATGCTCGGACACGGGCCTGCCAGCTGACAGTGGTTAGCAATTCTTATTACAAATATATCTTCTAATTCCCAAGCTGGAATTGTAAAGCTTTTCTATAGTGACACTGAACCAAAATATCGAAATTGCTCAAGCCTTTAAAGAAAGCGGCAGCAAAAGGTTGCGGAACGCCTTTTAAGTAACGCTGCAGGCAGGCGCTCCGGAATACAGATGGAATGCCTGCCTGAGTTCTCCTGTCACCTCACATCACCCAGGAACTCAGACTCTAAACTTCCATTGCCTTTGGCAGGAATAGAGCAGAGAGAAAGAGAAAGAGGGGGAAGAAGAGGGGAGGGGAGAAGAATCTCTACAAAGGAGCTTGTGCAGAGTTTTTATCACTGTCACTCTCTGAACATGGAGGGGCCTCTTTGGGGTTTGGAACAGAAACGCTGGAACGGGGTGTCTGCCGATGACACCTCTAGACTGCTGGCTTGAAGGCATCCTCCTCCCTGTTCTTGGCCCACGTCTATTTGGATTCTCCTTAAGACACAATTCATTATTCATATTCCTAATGAGGACACCTCTTCATTTCTTCCCTCCAGCCCTGGGCTGACGAAGG